GCTCAACTAAAATGCTCAGGGAGAAGACTTGTGTGGAGTCTTGCTCTCAAGTGCGAATCACATGTACATTTATTAATCGAGATACTTTGTAAAGAAGAGGAAAATGAGAAACAGTTCTGCCATTATAAGAAGTTTCCACTTAGAACATTGCCATCACCTCTTGGCAAAAATATCTTGTTGTCTTCATTTTGGAATAGATTGCTTTGATGTCCCTCCATTCCAAAATTCGGATGCCAAACTCTGTAACTAGTATATTAATGTCAATATTTGTTAACTTACTAGTAAAAAAAAATGACTTCTAGAAAACTCTATGTTATTAGAAAAACTCCAGTCCTTAAACTATAATTGGAAAGCCTTTACTGAACTTTGTTGGAAAGTTCTGGTTTGGAAGATAGCAGAATAAGCAGGTATAACAACAAGTAGCTTTCCTAACATTTTCTGCACCAAAATCATAGTCTTTTATATGCTTAACAACAGTTTAAAAAATTCCTCCATTAACACATGTGTGGTGTTGGATTATTATCACCTGTTTACATGTCAGATTTGGCTCCTTAACTGTGAGCAACCTGAAGATCATCTCTGCTCTGTTGCATCTAGAACAACAGGTGCTCAGTAAATATCAGCTGAGTAAAGGAGAAATTCCACAGCCAAGAAATAATGCAGCCACTTTTCTGTTCTTGTGTCTAGTTGGCCTATGTAGAACAATGGAACAAACCATCTTTTCAATATAGAAGATGGGCAAAATCAATACTGTATTCTGATTCCTATCAGATGCAAAGTCCCATTAACCCTTTAGTGCAAAATCTGTGCAGTGTGGCTTTTCAATAGATATTAACAGTTGATTTACTTTTCCATTTCTACATGGGGAAGGAATTCTCTGCAAAGCCTCCCCGTTTTTTCAGCACCAAGATTGAATCTAGGACCTTCTTTAAACTGCACTACATCCCAAGTTCTTTGAATTGGGGGGGGTAAGTTCTTGATAAGCAGCTAAATTGCCCAACTTCCGATCCTCCTGCCTCAGCCTCCTGAAGTGGTGGGATTACAGCCATGTGCCACCATACCTGGCTGGATAGGACTCTATATAGGCGTCTGTCTTAAGTGTGAGATTGTATGGGAAATGATTTAACTACACACCCCACAGTTAGCAGCTTCATTAAGGTCCATACATGGCCTTCACCCCATTTCTCAACATACCACCCCTGTCTCCTGATGGCTCCTCTTTACCAACAGAAACCTTCCCTGTGACAAAGCCCTAGGTCCAGTCTCTACCCAGCCAGCCTCTCTCTTGGACCAGATCCAGCAGACAGATATCTTTAAAGCAATTAAGAATATCATCAGCTCATTACACTCAGAATTTCCCATGATGTAGCAATTAGTTCAAGTAAAGTTGTTGATAAGATAGTATTCCACTCTGTATTTGGAGAAACTAAATGAAATACTCATTAAAATTTATGATAAACCTGCAACAAAGTGTAAATGTTCAAAAAGTAGTGCATACTTGTTATCTAGAAACCTTTTCCTAATTCTAATTATCCCCCCATCCCAAATTTATAGGAATCTTTAAGCTCTCTCCTTGAATAGGTAATGCCACAGGAAAAGATGTGGGGTATTCATCATTTAATTACTTTATTCAATCTAAGGATGCTAATGATGTTCTTTTTTTTTTTTTTTTTTTTTTTTTTTTTTCCAAGGAAGAAACTTG